CGTTCTCTTTATGACGTACTGACACAAAGTTCAAATGATATGCAATGGTCGCTTTGTCGCGTAGACAGACTTTGGGGCCGTTCACATGTCGCGCCTAAGCGACTGTGACCTGCGCTCTCCACGACAACGCGGAGGTTTCAACAAAAGATAAACGGATTTCCAGCACTGAAAATCGCGTGCAGTAGCTCTGCTACTAAATTTATTTAAAATGGGTATCTCTGTACAGCTGTCGCGTCCGGTGTAGACACAGTGTCTGTGTGTGAGCAAAGAAAACAATCAGTATAGATATAACGATCAGTATACTAAACATCGCACATCCTGCGATGTGACTATCGCGGATGCGCACATCGCGATATCGATGCTGAAACGATATATCGTGCAGCCCTAATTCTATGGGAATATTGTATGTAAAACAGTCATGCCAATGAATTTCTTTGAAATGGAAATTGAAACTATTCTAATCATGGGAATAATGTTAATAACTCTTATGGTTTTACAAAAGAGGCTTCACAACATGTATCTGTATCTTGACTTATTGAGATGAGGGAATTTAGGCCTTTGGATGGGAGAGCAGTAGATGAAGACTGCTGGAGTAGATGGAAGCTTCACAGGGGCAGGTGGGGCTCCACTGGTTAGTTACGGGGAGGGCAGGGGAGAGGTGATGCTGAGAAAAGCTGTACAGAATGGATCCTAATGAGCCTTTTCTAATCCGCCCAAATCTTTGTAGCAATCCCACAAATGTCAAGCTGGAGTTTGAAGGCGAAAGGAAGACATGGATATGAGTGGCGAGATAAGAGGGGTAATCTTCAACACCCACACCTCCCTCCTCACAGACAGCAGGGGGTGATGGAGAGGTGGCCGGAGGGCAGATGAAAGTGCTGCTCGACCCCAAATACGTTCTGACTGCTTATGCGATATGATGTGATTAGTCCAAATATACTAGTCTGTTAAATACTGTCACATGATACTACAGCATTGAGAAAACTATATTTTTTTTAGTATACAAAAGTGCAGTGAACCATTTTAATAATTATCTTATTATTAATAATAATTACTAATAAATTAAATAAACCTGTGACATGTTATTCCTATCTCCTGTCCTTTTCACACAGTGATGCTTTTTTTCCCTTAAGTGCTAAAGCATCAATAAAACAAACCATTATCTCACGGTATTCGTGAATATACACAGTTTAAACGATAACATATGAAAAAGTGTACTTTGTGTGTAGCGTGTTTTTTCTTTCTCATGTGAGCTCGGGTGGGTTTCAAGTTTTTGATAGACAGAGACATGGAAACCCCGGTTTGGATTATCCAGCGGAGTAGATTCACTTCAAACTAATACTCAAGTGTTTTATCTTGACACACCAAAGCAAATACACACGCTCGCATTGCAGTTACGTCTATGTGAAGCACAACTCTATGTGTGCCACTGCGTAGGTTTATAGCTTAACATATTTATGCGTGCAGGAGTTTACCTTCACAAGTTCAACATGTGTTTGATTTTTACTGATTAATACGTGAATGTGTTTGATTTTTACTGATTAATACGTGAATGTATTTCACATTGATTTATTGCTTAATTCCCGTATGAGAATCTGAATAAATGATGCAAGTCGCATGAAACAGCACTAGTGTGAAAAGCGTCTTGGAGGATCCGTTCCGGGTTTTTCTTCCGCTCTGACTGGATGATTTGTGTGTGTATATGGAGCACACGGGGCAGATAGAGGAGAGAGACGGTTATGGATCCGTAGCTCTTGCCGCTGTCTGTCTCGTTTCCCGGGACTGTCGTTTTGAATAAAGCGAGGGTCGAGCTTCGAGTCGTGCATGGTACATTTGAATGAGTGTAGGGACGCACAGCGGCGGGAAACAAAGGCGCACCCGGTTCGGTGCAAAGGAGCAAGCTGCTCGCGCGGCGGGGGATGCAGGGCACAATAGGGAAGACCACACTCTTCTGCTTTAGGAGGACAGTGTTGGAATAACATTTCCCCCTAGACAGACAAGCCTCGCAGCAGGAAGCCGGACTTTACTTTTCAGGCAAATGTTGTGTGAACATGAGACGGGCTTTGCACTGGACGTCTAGGCGACTTGATGGGGCTCTTTCAGGATTTTTAGAATGCGCAAATAGTCTCAAAAACGCACCGGCACAGCAAAGGAAAATTTTGCGCACCAACGCGATTTTGAGCTGAGATTGTTTATTATTATTATTATTATTATTATTACTATGCGCTCTGAAGATCACCAGCTGTGGGTGAAATCACGCTAGAAACATATTTTACGTGAATTCATTTACTTGGATTTGGTTTCTGAAGAATGTACTTACTTGATGGTAATTACCCGGAAAGGATGGAGCGGGGTACGCCACAAAGAAAAACCGTGTACCGGATATCTTTGACACTAGTGAAAAAAGAAACTCTGCAGGATGGCGGAGGCTCAGCGCACCGGCGGCTGGAGAACCCTAAAGTGAGCGCGTACCGGCGGGAGGGAGCCGCTGACGCTCAGCGCAGCTCCCCGCTGGAAGAACTGAAAGAAGTGGAGGACGAGACGGACGAATTTTCTGCACACTCATACATGAGGAACTTCAGGACATTTAGTACTGGACATCTAGAGTTGGGCAGGGTGAAAATCTCAAGGAGGGCGCAGCATTCACATAAAGACAAGGAATTAAATGAAACGTGCATCCTGCCAGAGAATGGACAGAGCAAGGTCATTGAAAACGGGGCACTAGTGCACAAAAAGGCAGATGATGTAGCTGAAAGTGACAGATTGAAATGTGATGCTGAGCATGGAGAAATCTGCAGTACAGCTGCTGCTAATAGAGGAAACACAGACATTCGAAACAAAATCCTCAAGACTTCCCGGAGCACAGAGGAACCGGTCAGTACATGGTCAGATGATACCTCAGAGGAACCCAAGGGTGGCAGGATGGCCGAAGAGAGCTGCATCTCTTATTTGCTGGCTCAAGGGAATGGGAAGTCACCCAAACCAGCACCTGAAACCCCTCCGGTGAAGAGCCACCCAAGCCTGCTGCGGCGAAGTTTCAGCTTTCGCCACTGGACGGGTGGAGAGTTGATCCGCATACGGGCGCTTTCCAAAGAGAAGCACCACAGCAGCTCGGGCTGCATTGGCCATGATGGAGAGCACAGTCAGGTCCAGGCCGGCGTGGTTCTTCAAAACATGGCTTTCGCCGAGTCTGAGTCCACTGAGAAGCGAAACACCTTGGATGTGGGTGAGGTCCTAAGCAAAACTGACTCTGGGACTGAACTGGGCCGCAGGGAGAGGATGAAGGGCAAGAATCGAACGCTGGACAACAGTGACCTGCTCAAGCTGTCGGATAAATCTTTGATGGACAAGGAGGGTTTCATTAGAGGGACAGGCTCCCGTTCCAGCGGGCAGGAACGTAAACTCATTCGGTTCTTCAGCGGTATCTTCTCAAAGCGAGAAGGGACATCCACACCACTTACCAGCCCCAGCAACCAGGCTCTCCGGAAGAATGGCCTACTGGGAAGTCAGCGGAGATCAGAAATGAGCTGCTCGCAGTCCAGTACCGAAAGTGTTAACGGATGCCAACCAGATGGTAATAGCTGTTATCTTTGCTCTATTTTTTTGGCTTCATGTAGGTATGTTATGAGGCAGGAGGATGCTCTGTTTGCTATTGTGGACTTAGGACGGTGGTTAGAGGATGCATGTTTGTTTTGGACAGGAAGGTGTTGTTTAGTCCCCACTTCGCAGGCCGCCTGTATTTCTGTTTCATTATATTGCATGCTTGCAGCTTACTCTGAGAGCTGGCAGCCTTGTTTGCAATGGCAGGTGTTTACATTCTTGAACCATGAATGTAAAAACCTTCATTAAGTGCTGTATCCGTTACCCTGCTCTATATATTTTGCTGGTAATGCACAATGTCAGAGTGACAGTTTCTTCCACTTGTGTTTTCTTCTGGAAGTTTAGAGTTAATATAAGTGGATTGCACTATTCACACAAACACCTTTTTCCTTGTTGTTTCGGATCCATTATCTCACTGTCAGTGTTATTGGTGGCAGCAGGTCGCCTGTGAAGGCCACCACCCTCTCCTGTCATTAATATGGTAATGCAGAGCTGCTGTAGATACTGTGAAGAGTTTCATAGAGATTTGAATGGATTACCACACACCATTTTCTGACTGAGCTCAGCAGACCGCCAAGAAAAGCAGATTGCCTCTGTTTTTTTTTTTGTTTTTTTTACTTTTGATCTCTTTCTTAGTATGTAGATCCCCTTACAAGGATCCCCCATACTAAATTATAATCACAGCAATGCAATTCAATCTTGAAAGACAATTTTATACAGGTATTAACAGTCATATTATAGAGAATGAAATAACTGGCTTTTATGTTGTCACTGTACTCACACTATTGCACATTATATTATCTCTAGAATATTTACTTGGAACTAAGTTGACTGATTAGAGTAATGTTAGGTGTATAAACCTTTAAAATAATAAAATACTATTTTAAGTTAAAATAATCCAGTCAAAATAAAATAATTGTGATGTATGCTCATGATTTATAAGGAGTGTTTAGATAGCATAATGAAACTGTAATATCACATTTTGGTACAATTATTAAGAAATATAAATAAAATAATACATTCTTAACACTGTTAATTTGGCAACCCCAAAAATACTAAACCCCTGTCCTGCTTTGGGTCATACTGTCTGTTCCTGCATAGATTAGTGAATGAAAAATCTTAGAAAGGATATTAACAATACCTTTCTGTTTGAATTTTGTAATACGATGGTGATGCAGTCTTGATTAGATTGGAAGTTTTTTTTTTAAGTTTGTGTCAGTGACGTAGCTCAGCAGAGGGATTATTTCAGGACCGTGTTAATGATCAGGTCAGCACTAGTGCCTGTAACAAGGCATGTAGTAAAACCTTAGTTGATTAGCCGTTTCCACATTCCTTAGATTCCAGAGACATTCTTGACTCGTCTGAAGAAATACATTCTTGCCAATTAGATAATGATCATCTTACATAGAGCAGTGTTTCCTTCTAAATGAGCGGCTTTACCTGGATCTGTTTAGTGATGCACCAATCTATCCGATCCATCCAATCTATTGTTATTGGCTGAAATTAGGGCTGCATGATAAATCGCATGCGATATTTAACGCGCATCTTGTCAGAAAGCCGGTTCTGTAATCAGCGGTAAATCTCCATCACGTGAACCGGCTTGCTGACAAGATGCGCGTTAAATATCGCATGCGATTTATCGTGCAGCCCTAGCTGAAATTCAGGGCTGATATTTTAAATAGTGTTATGCAAAATGTAAAACATATGGAGGCATTGATTATGAATAACACAGTACTTTCTCAGCACCCTGCGCATGATTCACCAAAGCATATTCACTTTCATTATAAATTATATTTATATTATATTCATTATAATGAAAAGAGTGGCCAGAATATTCTTTGAAAACTCATCTTTTGTTTTCCACATAATATAGAAGGTCATACAGGAATCACATACGGGGACTAAATTACAGATTTTTCATTTTTGGGTATTTTTAAGAGCTTACCATGTTGTATGTTCATTGCAAAAAGTTTATTCTGCAATTTGGTTGATTTTTAGGGATTTTAGCCGATCATTAGTAGTTTGTGTAACACTAACACTAATGAGAGTAAACGAATCAAATTCAAATTCTGATTGATTGCATTTCTAAAATGGTTTTCATTTTTGCTTTCAAAGCAAAGCTATGTTAGGCATTAGGGCACACCTGCCTCCTTTGAGGTTTATTTTTAGTTAGTTGCTTGTTTCATGACTCAGCCGGTGTGTGTAGCTCTGACGTTTCCTCTGCATGCAACCTTGGAGTCATTAGTTCGCTTCAGTTCAGTTAGCATTGCTGTGTTAGTTAGCAGCCGGATGGGGTATGACTTTCATTCATTTGGCTCTGTGCAAGCAGGATGTGAGATGGCACTGCAAAGTCAGCGTTATATAGTCCTGCAGGGTATATTCCCAGATCCCAGATGGGTCCTACATATGGATTTGTTTATAGGCAGCTGATGTCCTCAGAGGGCGCTTTCCTATAGCTCGAATGTGCAGCGAGGAATCATTCAAAATAAGAGCAGAAATGTGTATTAATTAGGGATGTAATGATTCACGCAACTCATGATGCGATACGATTCACGATACTGATTTCACAATATGATTATCTCACAATTTTTTTATTATAAATGAAATGGTGTCCTTTTATTATTTCTTAGACAAAATGCTGCACATTTGTTTGGAAAGTTGAAATGTGTCAAATAACACAATTACATTGAAAATTTAAAACAAATCCCAAATCAAATAAATAAATAATACAAAAAATAATAATTTTCTTCATATAAACAAGGCTTTGCCTGTGCTCTTTCCCATTTAAAATTAGAGGCATCCACTGCATTTTTATCACGATCCAAACAAAAAGATGCTTCATACATGCAGCATTGAGCAGTTTTTGATTTAAATTAGATTGAATAATTAAAAATTTGAATCAAAAACAGAATGGTCTGACTTTAGCTTTGTAAAAATACTTTACAAAAACAGCAGACGGGCTGAATGAGAACGCAAATTCTCTCTCTGACAGCAGGTGGCTTTTATGGAACAGCAGAAATATAGCGTTTCCTTGGTTACCGCTGTAAACAAAGCAGCTCTGCGTTTAATATGCATTATACCAAAGACTATAGAATACCCAAGACGTGTCACTCATATAGTTTTGAATGGGGAAAAATGCAACGCTCAATATGGCCCCTCTATAGAACGAAGCCCCGCCTTCTGAGTAAAAGAGCCAATCAGCGTGTCACTGCAGCTGCCGTTAGAAGTCCTGGTTGCTATAGAAACAGTCAGCATTCTGATACGTGTGCTTAGGACTGCGCACTGGCTGGTCTAGTCTGATAAATAAGCTTTTTTAAACGCTATTAGAGCAAAAGAAACAACATTTATGAGACAGTTGTTGTCAGATTACATTGGTGATTTCAAATATGAATTTTAATCTTAAACTTGGCGAACGGTTTTGGAGAATTTGATGTTTCCCCATTCAAAGAGATAGGAGCTGCACTTGCATGCCTGAGAGGAGTTTCAAAGATGGCTGCCGAGTGACATTACTTTTTTGATTATACAGAGGCGAGGTGAAAAGAAAATACCATCAAAGCTTACCTGGAGACAGTCATTTCTCCTCAGAGATACATTCAGATACATTCATATAAACCCCCACCCCCTACTGTATCGCGATTCATTTAACATCTCAACCGACTTGAATCGTAACATATTTTTACAGATTTTCAGCAGGCTCGGGGTGCATCGTTACATCCCTAGTATTAATTAATTAAATGGGCAGTTTAGATTTTTATTGCAATTTTCAGACCTCTGTTTGCAGAACTCTAGATTTTAATTTGGGCAGTTATTCACCAAATGGATGCCTGTGACTTGGAAGGCAGGATGTCATAGTCAATGCTGCAGTTTTTTTTTTTTTTTTTTACTGTAGTTCAGAGACACAAAATAAGAAATACACAACTGTGTTCATTTGTTTTGGACATTTTATCTGTACTCCGCATCCCAGGCAACGCACATCTGTACACATCTGTGAGTCTGCATAAAGATAGAACCTGAAATAATGATTCTGTGCCCAATTTGTCTCTTTACAGTAGCAGTGCCCTAGCGGCTCCCTACTGTACACCCTTTATCTTTTTCCCTTTTGCTTCTTTAAAATTTACAGATGGACTGAAATTTTGGCCACCAGTATTTAATAATATTAAAATAATATCCATTATTTTAAAAGTATTCAGTGTACCTCCCAATATTTTAAGAGTTGTTAGATGTTGCGTTTGTAATGCCACAGAAGAACAAGTATCATCACTTAGAATTTTTTTTCTTTCAGTTTCTGATTTTCAGCCCAGCATTCACAATTTTTGCATTCAATTTCAGTATTCATTGTAGAAGCGCCATTTACATTAACATTGCTTTTGTTGGTGTCCACAAATTAGAGAAGAATGTCAATGTGGCTATAAAGCGATAATTCAACCAAAATTTCAATTAAAATTTACATCATTGGCTCACCCCAACATGTATTTTGTTCTTTTCCATGCAAATACAGTAAATGGATTGGAACTTTTAAGCTTCAAGTAGGACGCACAAGCAACATAAACATATCATAAAAGTAGTCTGTATGACTTTTTGCACTATATTCCAAGTGTTCTGAATTTGTGCAGTAGCTTCATGTGATAAACAAACCAATATTTAAGTGATTATTCCCTGAAAATCTTCCCCTCTAATGTGCGGTTATTCACGCTGAGTGGATCATTTGAGTTAGTCAGTTGAACTCAAGAATTCGATCGCTCCAATTTGTGAACTGGACATTGCTACACCATTCATGAACTCTCATTAAAGTACCAGAGAGCTCTAGGGTGGATTCCACTTCAAATGTTTATTGCATTGCGGGGTGGCTTTTTTTTTTCCAAATCCTATAACATGTTAAAGGTGCGGGTCACATGAGCGTGCAAAATAAGGTCCATTGTCAGTGTAGAGATGCATGGAGCACTGCTCACACACAGAGTAATCGGTATCAAAACA